AAACCACCAACCGGGAGGTCACGGGTTTGAGGCTTCCAACTGAAGCTTCGTGGGAATAAAACAACAGTACACTGCTTCTCAGCTTCCCAGCATAGATCTGTTCCACTTAATGGGCAAAATCACCATCGAATTATGCATATCTTCTTGCGCTGACAAAAAAGACGTAGAAAGATATACAGTGCGTTTTTGACAGTTGCTGACGTCATTCGCAGAATAAAACTTTGTACTCCCCTCACGACGTGAAAACATGAAACTGCACCTTTAGAGAACCCAAAGTAGTACCACAGTTTCGCTAGGTAACTGCGCGTTAAAACTGATTTAGTTAGATGGCAACTTTGGTCACACGTTGTACGAGCGAAATGAGTTGCTTGGAGGAAATTAGTATCACCTTAGCAGCTGGGCAGCTTATCGTAAATAGTCACCGGTGTACCTGAAATTGGGATTCCGCTGAATGTTATCAAAGACCGGTGTGATCATTCTCACTGGGATCTCTGTCATCCCCATTGTGACACTATGAATGTGTGTGAATGGGTGGGCTGGTCCAGCGTGCAACCTAATTCTGCAAATGGGTTACTAACAAGTTTAAAACCAAATTCACTTGCTAAGCAAGGCTGATTAGTGGACTCGTATCCTCAAATGAATTGTCAACCATGAGGTTACGCAAATAACCACTTTAAGCCAAGTTGGTTCGTTGGAACGAGTGCGTTTCACGTCGAAAATCTGGAATCGACCGTAGGACCCAAGGCCATTAGAAATGACTGGAACTCGTATCACTCTGGTTTGAAAGTCTTCTTCAATCTCACCGCCCAAGACCAACACGTTCACCAACTCAGGCGTGTTATTTCACGTAAGCCAGCCTGACCTGATCGAGTATTGGTAACCCGCTCGGGAACGACCAAGTTTAAATAGCGCTCTTGATCCCCAATAAGAGCCAAAGTTGAGTCCATTGCTGCCGTTGGTGTGGACCCACCAGAATAATCGAGCCTGGACGGGAGCGAGACTGATAAAATACAGTGCTATGAACACAAATTCCTGCAGTCCTGCAGTCATCTGCAAACAATAATTGAAATGAATCAGGTAAAAACCGTTTGCTCTACTACTTATCAGATTACGGAATACTGAGGTTATGCAAACAGGCTGTGAGAGAAGAATACGTGACTTTACTTGGACATGTCTTCACACATTTCCACCCGAAAGCCAACATTCCGTCCGGATTGGTTTTCCATGAGTAACTGGCTTTGTCGTAGACGGTGGTGGCTGGGCAGGTCGCAGCGCACTCGCCGTTGTTTGAATAGCGTAGACACGCCTGAAAAATATGGCAATTGACGTGTATTACCAATGTGCTGATTCGTATTTCTAACAATGGTCCAGTAGGAAACAGCCAGTGTAAAAAGTATCATCACTCCGCTCGTGGTGACATCGCACCCGCATCCTTAAAATCATAGAAAGTTAGCCACTAGCAAAAGCTACTGAGTTAGCTTCGTATCAAGAACAGCTGTTCAAATGAAACTGATAATCTCGAGATGAAGGTTGGTTCTAACTTGGATATAAGTTTTAGTCCTGAAGTAGAAGCTGATAACCAGCTAATCGTACGTGTATCTAAACCAACTCCGTTAGACTCATAAGTCTGATCGAGGGGGCTCGGTCCCAAGTTCATGGGAATGGAATCGCTTACAGAAGGGTTGTTTGGCTGATTTTGTGGACCCATTCTAGTAAACTTGAGTCGGTACTTTGTTAAGGGGGGCTATATTCGAAAAAGAAAGCTCTGTGCACCAAAGAACAAATTTCGTACTCTGCAACTAAGTATTGCACAAGTGACAGACCTACAGTGGAAAACAGACGATATTTCCAATTGCCGATTGGTGTCAAAAGCCACTATGGCGTTTGTCAGCACTTCCGTTAGCAGGGATGGCACAGTGTCTTTGGAATTTTTCGTGAAAACCCACGCTAGGATTCGGTGGAATGTGGCCAAAATATAGGATCCAGCAGAGATTTTACACACTGAAANGGAATTTTTCGTGAAAACCTACGCTAGGATTCGGTGGAATGTGGCCAAAATATAGGATCCAGCAGAGATTTTACACACTGAAATTCCCAAACTTTTCCTTAGTATAATTCACTGCAAAAGGCTCGCGAACAAAAGGGATTTGCTGGTCGAAAGACTCGTAACATTAACTTGGTCCAAGTGAAAGTCTAGCAATTGATTCTTTGAGGACTAATGTGATTACTGCATATGAAATCATCGTCAGTTGAAATGAGAGGCGGCGAACAAGTGCGACTCTTATGGGCCGTACAGCACTCTGTAACAAATGTTTTACTGAGGAATTCGATATATTTTCATGGCGTTTTAGAAGAAGGTGATCCCCGACAATTTTAATTCGTGTTAATAACTCCAGTGAATGATGAGAGAACTTTCTCCGAGGGAAATTCACCCCCTGTATATGGCCACAGTGGTGTGCCCTCATAATGAAATTAGCCCCCCCCCCCACGGTAAAAGTCCAAAACGAGGTTTTTGCCTTGGGTTTGGTTACTGTATCTTCAAAATTTGTTCATTCTTATTTTTGTACGTTCTTATAGATTTTTGACACTGTCTGTATACCGAAACGCACAGGCCGAAAAAATCTTTCCTCGGCCGGCACAGTAGTACCACTGGGGTGCATGAAAGAATGTGCCATTCTTTTAAAATGCTCCCTTGTCAAATGTAGTTCGCCGCACTTACTTCTACCCAGTGATTCTTTTGTCCTATAACATGATCTCAGCTATCACCAACCATGGAAAATTTGATTCACACCTGTCTCTTTTATTGACAAGCACTGGAGTTCGTTTCAATGTGGCAGCTATTTTTGAACCGTTTGATGTCTTTCAGTAGTGCTTAGGTTCTTTGAAGAATTATCAGCTGACTGTGCCTAACCCTAACGGAGATCACTAGCGCTGCATGAAGCTTTCTCACAGTTGAATTAATTTTCTGTCATCTGATTTGTAATTTCTAATCAAAATTATTCATAGGTTTTTTTAGTATACTCCCGGAATATTTACCAGTTCTTAGGCTCCAGGTTTGGGATTTTACATGTTTTTAGATCCATCCTCTTATGCTTTAACAATGACACTTTTGAAAATCTTCAAACCCATGGCTTGGAACTCATCAGGTTCGCGTGTAAGTTGGAGGCGCAATTACTTGACCCTTCGTTAGCAGTATGATTTCCAAATAAATTCATCTGCATGCGCAGTTAGAAGCAGAAACTACGTTACCTCACATGTGTCGTGCATTCCAGTGTGGTCACCACCTGTTGAGTGTTGGCGAAGGGTAGGACACCTGAGAATGCTGAGTTGTGCGTTGTACACTGGGATCAGACTAATTACTGGCTAATGAACACGAAACCACAAACCGCACTTGAGTAGAACTTTCAAAAAAGCCAGTACCATCAAGCGTACACCTGGAAATTGTTAAAATATCCAAAATAGATGAACAACACTGTCAAATGCCCCAAGCACTTCCTAATCCGCCTTAGATCAGATGGCGGGATCGAACCACCAGAATCAAATCGATCACAATTGCTCCACATGCGCCACTGTCTTTCCTCCGGCCTCCGTCATATCACCGTGTCTTTGAAACAGCCCAACTCCCACTGAGCAAGCCAGCCATGCGGACTTTGTCTGCATTAGGAAGAACATCAGCTAACTTTAAGCTCCATCTGAGTGTTATTGAGTTCCACTCACCAGACATTTGTCTCTCCTGACACCAGTAGTTTGAACATGAACTCTTTGTGGAAGGTTCATTCTATGTCTCACAATTTTCTGCGGCCACGTTTAGAACGTTATACATCCAAAAGCGATGAAAATGTTACGGCATCAAGAATTTCGGGATGTTTCTAAAAGCGTCATCCAGTACTAGTCACGGTTGAGTATCCTTACAAATTTTTTGTGCCCTGTGTATCGTAATACATCTGCAGGAAACCAGAGATTTGTACTAAGCACAAAATAAAACGATGATGACGTAGATGAAATGAATCACACAAAGAGTTGCACGGACCGAGGGGACCAAGCCTGTAGACGTACGATAGATGTAGGTACAAAGTGTGGTTTCAAACATCTTTTCGGTGGCAATGGTCCTGCTATCAGTATCTATCTGTGCGACAGGTGAGAACGCACTAGTGTTGGAAAAACTTGTGCTGTTCTTTAATCAGTTGGGAAATGCTTGGGACCGATTGGGTAGTCATCGTTTCGGAGAGGTATGCCAAACAATTGATGGATTTTCTTTGTAATGTACTACTCATAAGGTTGCTGAACAAGTTGTGCCTGAGAACATCATAAACGAGAAATTCAGCTGGGTTCCAGGTGAGTCCCACGAAAAAACCAAATCAGTTTGTAAATGAGTGTATATTCGCTAATCGATGGATTTATTGCTGGGCAAAGTTTCGCTCTTGACACAAAAGCTCCGTCAGGCCACGTGACTAGGTTACGAGGTTGGTCAGGTTTCAGAGTAGTCAGAAAACCCGATCAGCCAGCTTGCTTGCTCACTTGGCCTGACGAATCCTTTATGTCAAAAGCGAGACGTTGCCCAGCAATAAATCCACCGATGGTTTACCAAAACTCTCTGAAACGATAAGCTTATTCTTGATCATCATATGCTTCCGGTATACATTTCAGGAAACTTTGATCTGCCGATAAGGTACAGGAAATCGAATAGAATAAAAATGAGAAAATTCTGAAACTGAGTTCAGATTACCTTGCAGTCTCGTGCTCTACTTCCATGACAACTGGCGGCACACTCGGAATGACAGCAGTGCTCAGTGAAGGAGGCACTTTCATTCCGACGACCACTGACTTTGTTGCGAAATGTGGGCGACTTGGAGATACGGAAGCACCAGTTGGACCCATCGCACAGTCGAATCTGACATTTGTGAACTGGATTTCAGAAAAGTATACAAAGCGAAAATCAGTATGGGTCAACTCAAACATGCTGGAACTATGCTGCTCTCCACTAGTCTAGTCATACGTACTTTTCTGACACTGAGATGCTTCTGGACCCCAGCAGTATTGTCTTCCTTGAATTTTTGGACAGGTTGGATGGCATGGAAGTACGGGGTAGGTCATGCTGGAGGTAGCTGAGGAATTTGAAACTGGTTCTCTCGTCTCCCTTTCGATAGTTCCTCCAAAAACTGGACTGGTCAGAAGTGAAGAGGTCATGGGTTCGATTCCATAGGATGAGGTAGACTTGTTCGCAGCAATGTTTGCTTCCTTGTGGTCCAATAAAGTTGAGGGATTGGCTACAAAATTTAAACGTGCATCTCATTAGTAAATTCGCCCAGTGATTTTCAAGGTGACAGCATGTGAAGTTTGGAAGATGTCCTATCTACTCTTCCTAAATAAGATGGGATTACGTAGAAACTGTTGACTGCCCTTCTAAGTTAGCTACTGTTTATCAGCCAGTCTCACAGTGGAGCAGCACTGAGCAGAAGTCACAAACCATTATCGAACTGCACCCATTAGCACGCCAATTTGGTTTTAGCGGGAAACTCAGCTGAGTCCCGGCCGAATCTCTTGTTTATAGTACCCTACACTTATTCTTCGGTTTTGAGTAAAGGTAAGTGTTTTTTGATCACTGGGAAATCTGTCTCCTCATCCACTGCAAGAAACGTGGGAACTCGTTATATGAGAAAATTGAACAAAAGCGATTAAGATAGAGCGGCCATTCTCAACTTCCAAATGCCCAAATGCTGTCACTCCATTTGATATCTCATGGCCACACCGGAACCATTACACGACCACATAAGGTGAGGGAACACGTCCGTTTGATAATAGAAGCCGTGAGGATCAGATATGATTGACAGAAGGTCCCATTGCCCGTTTGTCTTTTGTAACAAAGTCGACGAGCACTGTACACTTTGGTGCTTCGAAAACAGTAGAAGCCATGCGCACAAAGCTTCTCATGTGCGCATAACCTAGACCTGTTTGGACTGATTGGACTTTGGATATGTAATATTAGAGCCATGTTACCGATACTCTGAAAGCGTACACAGAACGAAGTGAATAATCGTGTCTGAAAAGCCGAACTCCTGAGCGACTTGATTTGTTCATTCGACCTAGTTGTGTCCATCGATTGACCCGCCTTTCAGGACAAACCTGTCAAACCAATCATACCGCTCAGGGGATGAACACTGCTCAGATGGGATAAATTAGGATTGGCCTATACTTGTCGGTGGATTAATGGTGAGGATTATCTCGCAGGTGAGATGTGCGAAGTTCAAACTCCGGCAAAACCACGGATATGTGCAGCTAATGAGATTTAAGAAGAGTTTATCAGAGTTCGGCACTTCTTTATTTGGTGTGGACATTCCAGAATAGTTGCACTAGGACTGGAAGAAGACTGCTCAAAAGACTTCTCACTCCACTTCCAGCTAATACTCTTTATGACTAGTGATCACAATTCGATAGTGTACGAATTTACGCTGGTTGCTTGCCGACCTGATCTGAATCGATGAGCTCCAATCTTATTTCCAGAGTCTCGATTTTTACAGTTTCTAACGCGGATATGCACCTAGTACCGGCAAAAGAGTTATTGAAAAAGACCTAATTGTTTTAGATATGTAATGTTACTTTCATAATTGACAAAACTGTTCAACACATTAATCGGTTTCATCCACTACTCCACTTATGCTCTTTTTCCGGCGTGCGCAAACGCGGTCACTTTAGAAGATGGAAATATCTGACAAGTAGAATAAATGATCCACTGTGCGATAGTTCGTTTGTATTTGTAAAACGTACAGTCACTTGGGGAATGGTTCTGGGTACGCATGTCTGCCTGTGGAGCTCAGTGCCCAACGCCCAGTCTTTGAATCTAAACCGTAGTTGATCTTCGAATGAGTAACTTCTGAGGCCAGTGCCTAAAGGCCAATCAGTGATTCATTAAACTTTCTGTCGAAACTCGCGCATACACATATAAGTGAACCCCGGATTATGTCAAGCTATATTTATGCTTTTCACAAATTTGTTAACGTCGGAGAAACTGCGAGGTCCCTGTTTTTTCACTAACACCCAACCAATGAACTTTAGCGTGGTAATGGGAACTGGTTGTAGCAACAAGCCATGAACCGTAAGATAGTCAAACTGAAGTCAGTAGTAAACGGACCTTGATAGTTTTGTCACTCTACAACAAAAAAGGGACCTCGTCTGCTGTTTGACTTCGAAACGTGTTCAGACAGCACGCTGGAACGCTAATCGAACACAATTAGGAATACTTTAAAGGCAAACGGTTACCAAGATCGGTTTATCTCACGCAACACAAGTAGCTGGAACAGCTGAGCTCTCTTTCAAGGTTAACTTGGTGACGAAGGTGTCAACTAGAAGTTTTTTTGAGGCTGTGGAACCCATATTCACTGCGGCTAAACTTCAGTGCTTCTCTTCCCGAATTCACCTCACTTACACTCACAAAATAATGACAAATTGCTGTTACTGACCCCAAATACAGTTGTGAAAGAATTCACGTGCGGTCAGAGCGAACTAGATAGCACTTCCTCAAGTGGCTCACCTTGGGAAGTAAGTTAAAAGTCCAGAATTCTATTCTTGTTCACCCAGTAGTCAAGAGATATCTTGTTGATCAGGACACTGGATCGTGTACCGCACAAAATCTATTCAAATCAATCAGATTGATTAATATCTCGAGTGCCCATGGTACTATCATCCGACTCTTCATCCCGAATTGTGCACACAGGACAAATTTGCCCGCTCCTTAGAGGTTGAACCGACCAAGTGTTCATCCCTCGTCTGACAACTGCACAGGCAAGGCCATATCTTCCACGTAACTCAGACAATCGGCTGCCATGAGTAAAACGCCCTACCCTGACCGATTCACTCTCATCTCATTCGACCACTTGTGTGGTCAATACCGGTCAGTGAAACACCCGTCTACATGGTGTTTACTTTTCAAATACCAAAAGGGCAAGCTTTCAGGAACTGAATGCTGTTTCGCCTCCCTTCATTTAGGATGATAATCTTTGCTAGGTAAGTTCGTTAATGAATTTTAACTGTGATATAAAATTCAAATTTCGCTATTAATTTTGTAAACTTTAAGGCCTATGGGTAAAGTGAGATAACCTGTCATTATTTGGTTTGCCTTTCATGTCCATTTCTATCATCGATGGAACTTACTCTCCGAACCCGCATAATCAGAAAACAACTCCGTCGCCGAGGCATCTTTACACTGCGGCTTGAGATCAGATTCAGAAGGATCGCCGTTCGTTGCCAAAGTTGCCTGCTCATCGGTTCGAGCTTCTGAAGTGGAAGTGAAAATTTCTCCGAGTCTGGTTGAAGTGAAGTCAGTGGTTGAAGATTTTGATATCTCATTGGCGCTTAGTTCATTGCTAAGTATATGTGTGGGTCCGGTTAGTCTCTCGCGGAATCCATTCTGAACTGGATAGTCAGAAACTGCGCGTGGTTCCTCAGCGGTTCGCATTGGTGAGTCTTTTGTGTGTGTCGAAATAGGATCCAGTTGGCTCACTTGACCGTTGAAAATGCTTCTTTTCCTACGTAACATTAGTTGCGAAGAAGCTGGAAAAATAGGGGAAAATTATATGTACAGCTGTCCAAATCCAATGCTTGTGCCTAATAGTTCGAGAGATTTAGGCCAGATGGTTCGCCACAATACGAATATATCGAGCGTTGTAACTAGACGCAGGCAGGGTCGATCTCAAGTATAAAAGCCCACTCAGGATGGGTACAAACTTTCTCATCCAGGAAGGCCGAGGGTGACACTTGTTCGGAAATTCTTCTGCAAAAGTGAGAAATTGGGACCGCAGGAGATGAGCGAACCAACGGTTGTACAGGTGTGTATGCAAGGTCTGTATGAATGAGATATGTCATGATACGGTGGGATCCTAGATGTAAACTGGAGGAATGATTTGAGTCGATTTTGAGGTGGACAAAAGGATTGCTAGGATGTCAAACTCAAAAGATAAGCTCATTTGTGCGGTCCTTTGCCTGATGAAGTATCATTGGCACACCACATTAGTCCATCTTCCTGTCCCACTCTTAAACCCTTTTATCAACATCTTGTTTGTATAGTCGACTGAATATATATTGAATTGATACATGCATTGGATATACACCACTTCTTCGGTCACTCATTTCCTCCGTCTTCACCTGACCTTCGTTTATTTTTGGTTTCACTTTAGTTTATATGATTCTCAGCGAAAGTGACGTTGAGTGGCCAAAACCTCGCGATGAAATCATCCACTCAGTATTCGGTGCTTCATACAAGCGGTAAAAGGGTAGCCTTTTGCTTCGCGTTCATCAGCGTCCCCTTGGACCATGAAAAGAGCAAGCAAGTATCCAGTAATTTCTTACCCTCCCCTCATAGCTATTATTTCATCAGGCCAAACTTCAGGCACTAAATTGTGTGCCCGTCATCTGTTGCCTGCTCGCTATGCTTCCGTTCACGTATATCGATCCAGCAAGTTGAAACGTACTGATTGACCATAGAGAACGGCATTGGTGAATTTTATGTGTTACCGCTTAAGCATGGGCGAACAGACCTTTGTGGTAAAACTCACTGGATAGCGCGGAGAACAGCGGCGAGTTTTCCGTAGTTGCCTGTCTCTCTTCCTGAAAGGGCTGCTCATTCCTGATCTCTGCGGTGGCTTCCTGTGCCAGCGAGGTCAACCAATCGTTTGATGCTGAAGAAGATGGATGCACAGTGGAACACTGACCCACATGTCGGCAGAAACATGAGGCATGCCAAAGATCCATATCACCTCCTGGAGGAAGCGCAAAGATGTCGACCGTTTGCCATTCGGCTGCCTCTAAGAGGTCGTCCCATTTGAGTGTTAAAGGTGCGTAACAAAGCCCTGGATTGTCATAGAAGTATACTCCATGTTGAAGGATTGCTGTTGAGAAAAGTAGTGGACAGGTTTGAACGAGAGAATTACGTCAGTTGGGTTCCAGGTGCATCTCCCAAAAAGCCTATTAATTTGAGTGTATTCGTCTAAATCTATCCAATTTGGGATCAAGTAGAACATAAGGCTGTCGGAAACTCGGGGGCTGTGCCTACCTGATGAGCTCTAAGAAGGGCGAAACTGGTCAAAGCATTTTCAACAATATAGCGAGTAGTGTTTTACGAAAGGCAATATAATTTTAGTCATACAGGCAGGCATTTTAAGGAGAATGGATACTACTACTAACATTTAGGTAGGCAAAAAGGAATGGCTATGAAGTTCCACTGTCATACCACGGGCTACCTGAAGACATCTGACGTATGATCACGAATTAATTAGGCAAGTGAAATCAAATAATTTGTTTGATGAGGCGGAATACGCCAGACTGTATGAACTCAAGCGGCAACCATCAGAGGTTTATCGAAATCAAGCATTTTCGAACACAATCGTTCCCACAAAATGGAGATCATTTTTGGGTCGCCGAAGCTGGTCTCCCTAAAAACACTGCCGTTCTGCAGTGCGTTCATTCTGATTTCATCACGATACACTGATGAATTCTGAATACGAAAATCTTGTTACACCCTGACAGTCTCCTATTTTGTATACCTCGCATATCGGGGGATAACAATTTAACGCGTCCTCCCTTGCTTGAGAGGTAATGCCACTCTCCAGATTGATTATGATATTCCCCTAGTGCGAGGCTCACCAAAGTAATATCCAAGTGAGAAACCTACCTCAGAGATCACCTCCACTTTACTCTCCTTAAACAGAGAGTTTGCTGGCCATATGAGTAGTCAGAAAAAGCAGCTCGCTGCACTGTATATCGGTGCGGTACAATTCTGAGAAAGGTTTTGCACCATGTATCCATTTAAATCAGAGAACAACCCGAAGTTTGTTTGAATTTCACGATGCAATCATTGAGGTATGCAGATAAGTTAGAAATATGGTGGTAAGTCTTGATTTCATCAAGACGCATCTTGACCGATTACCATTTCTCTGACCCACTCATTCATAAGCTTGTAAATATAGGTAAACAAGTCCGATAGTATGGAGTTCCCCGGTGCTCTTCGACTCCCGTCACTAAGATGACACAAACCTACCAATTCACCTGGAGGACGACAGAGCGAACGCAGGTGCAGCGACCTTTCCCGGTCCACCTGTTGAATAACGTCAACACATGGGTATGACTTGCAAGAATCCACCATACGCTGTCTGTCTGACAACATAGTGACTAATCTGTTGTTTGCCAAAGCAACAAATTATCCAAGTGTTTTTTATAAAGTCCTTTAGGAGTCTAAATAGCAGTCAGTTAACACTCGTTGGTCAGTAAAAGGGTTTTTCGGCATTTCAGGCAAACAGGCTGTCAGGGGTACCAAAAAGTAAAGTTTATACATAATCACGTTTCGCTGTCCATGCCATTTAGACTCATTTCGAACAACAGGTTCTCGTTGGTTTGACTGAAGGAAAAGTGGACAAAAGCATCAAAGTTTATACACTCATTTTCCGCGTACTTTCCAATTCATTTTCAACGCATTTAATCTTTTCTAAGAGACACCCTGGACAATAGAGACGTTGTTCTTCATCATGAACTGTTCTTCGACCTCGGAGGAAGTTCACTTTCTTCCAAATGAGTTTGCAGGCGATTTGTTGGTGAGGCTGGAAATCCCAAATTTGGTCACCTCTCAGTAACATACTAGAATAGAGCGTTGTTTGATTATCCGTATGGAGTTTTGCTCATCCGTGTGATGACCGCAAATCTCATGTCACTATTCGCTTTGCACTTTCTGTCCACTAACATACATGTGCCTATTTGGCTGTAGGTTACGTTTTATTCGACCCATGAAAAAGTGCACACAACCGTCGACAGCGGTGCGTTCTTTCTGCTCGTTCTGAATTCGGCGGATGCTAAGTAGGGAATTTCTAATCTGACGCATTTAATTGGTCAGTTTCCTGTCCCTTACAATCAACCTATTCCTTTGAATCAGTATCGGAAATCCCGATTCGATGACCAGTACGGTGTTTTATTTCGGTAAAGTTTTCATGCCAAAATTATTCTTACGTAACTTAAAGAAATGTGAAATATGTTTCGCTAGTGCTGCTGTATGCCTTTCTACACAACCTTGCGGTTAGAACTCCACGTATCCATTTCAGACTACACGTGTGAAATCTGATACGCTCCCTGGTTTCATTCGGCCCAGTGCGAATTGGCTGGACAGCACGTGCATAGCTGGGCCGGTAAGCTTCTCAAAGTATTCACGGTTCATTTACTGACCTCGACTTCCAAAATTCAAGGTACTTATTGCACACTTGATTACTCATGACTAAGATTCCTACTTTATGAGAACGAAGAAGGTAGCGAACAAAGCTTGGTTTCTGTGATTGTTCCTGTTGGTTAATACATCACAAATTTATATGGTACCAGAAGTCACGTGGAATAGGTTAAGATCGGGGCTACATACACTCTAGTTAATAGAAATCAAAGGAAGGAGGGTTGAATGAGGGATAGGTCAGTGGGTCACGGAATCAGGTAAGTGACGTCAGTGTCAGACAGACTTGTGGGACCGGATGTTTCGTAGGCTAGTCCAAGTTCAGAGGTCGCACAAGTTTCTTTTGAACGCAAAGTTGTGGATCCAGCAGTCGGACTTCAATCGCCACTGCGATCGATGGTATTCTGGATCGTACCAGTCGTGATCGGTTCAGAGGTACCCGCTATTTGATAGTTAAGGCTTGCTCCTTGTCTATGACATGACTGGTTTTGGCCAAATGTGATGCAATCACGTTTGAGCCTGGTTTCTTCCAACTAGCATTCAGAGACACGGGATTGTGTTCTCGCATTCTGTCCGACAAATGCTTTGTCGTGCGAACACCATATGATGCTCGGCAGGAGCATACAAATTCAGGTGTAACATGCCTGTGATTAAGTACACATGAGGCTTTGTACAGTGCCGTCCGTAAAGGTGTGCCAACAAGGCAGAAGGAAATTTGTATGATTCCACACTTATCTGTATTTGCAAAAAGCGCTACGGGATTACATCCCAGTTGTCTCGGAATGAAGATGATTGATAGGACTTTTAAAAAACTATTTGGATAGGTAGACACTAAGCAAGCAATCGGTTTTGAGGACAACCCTCTTTAGAGTAAGTGAATTCCAAGCCATCAGACCAAATCCAACTGGGATAAGCCTTTAAATACTTCTGAGAGCTTTGCTGGGTTAGCACCTATCATACTCATGTACGTCTGTCAAAACTACCTGAAACAGCAGTCCGCAAAATGTAAGGCTTTCTCAGTATATTTGAAGAACAGTTGAAACAGTAGGAAATATCTTTTTTTATCAAAGATGTAGCAATCGTGATCAACGACAGTCTGCCATATCACGTCAAAATCATGGGAAATGAACTGGCCTAACCGTCATCAGGTTCGCCAGGAGCGCAAATTCAACAGACATATCTGACGGGCTTCGCGACAGCATATTTTGATAGTTCCATATTTCAAAAAGAGCTTGCAAGTAACCGGTTGTATCGATATCTTTCGCTTTGAAGTTCTTAAGCAGTTTACGGTAAAAACGCAGGTGAAGCATGCTATCCTGATCGGGGACATCCTACTAGTAGATAATGAATATCCGATTTATTTTTGGGACAAAACTTTGAAATAACTTTTGTTTGCGGATCCTGTCCACTTTCATTAAAGCTCTTTGGCGAAACGATTAAACTATGAAGTCGGGGTTTCATCCCGAAGCGTGTGCACTTCCGGTCAGTCTTGTGGGAACACCGTGTACGTCCTTTCTCACGAAAACGTGAAATTCCATTTGACCATGTTTCATTCGAGACCCACCTCCATAAATACGGTCAAAACAGGTACCGTCGCATCTTTGCGGAAACGCGGCGAGCAGCGCAGGCCACAATATCCACTGTATTTACATTTTGGCGTTCTGTTCTGGTTCGAATAGAGCAAGCGCAAACAAGCGTGGGCGTGCGCAGTGTAAAGCATGTGGACAGCAGTAAGCTTGCTAGTGTATCCGTTAACCCGGACTCGTACGAACCACAACAGTAGAAGGGACCATAGCTACTTCGAAGATAAACACAATAGTGTTCTTGTTGCACAGTAAACAATGTTTGATTCATTAGCTGCGTACTCAGAGGGTAGGGAAAATCAGCTGAGTAATACCAATAGAAAATGTATGCCCAATACACACTCCAGCCCTTGTCTCTTTGTACAAATTTGGGTAAGACAGGCACATGAATTCGGGTGTCCTGCAGGTGTCGCGGAGGGTAGAAGAAAGAGGCGCTAAAACTTCGAAAAAGGATGGATGACCACGACTAGAGTGGTCTGTTGAAGGTGTGATCTAAACAGCCTTTTCGATCGTCTGTACATGGACCATACGTGAACCAGCGGAGCAGTCTAAACAGTTCACAGAAACACTTTTGTTTGTTCGACTGCCATCGCAAACCCAGGTGGCACACCGTACTTGAACATAAATCAACTAGTTTAAATCCAGCTTTGCTACCATGAAATCCTGTAGGCTGTTGCAGACTCAGCGTCAGTTTTTTTCCACGTATTTGTCCCCCGTGCTTGCTATGCGTTTTCCGTGAAACCGTCGAGTGCCAAAAGGTGCTGAAGTCAGTTCAAAGACAAGACTGTGAGCGTCCGGTCGTTATTATTGGCTCGTCAGAGGCTAGACGGACTGGCACAGACCCCACGCTAGATCCCGTGGTGAAATCACTCATCACATTTGTCTTTTGGGCGTTCCGCCGCGGTGCATAAATGCCAGCGTGACAGAAAAATATATTACTTTGAAACCACGACCTTGACCTTTAACCGTCGGTTGAAGTGTTCTACTGACCTGAGTAACAGTGGCGTTTGTTTTTCGCGTGGGGGATACCCTCATGATCCATTTTACCAAAATAATGAGGCCTCTATTGCGATTGTGTACAGAATGCTGATATTGGTCTATCACAGGTGGTCTCTACAGACTGCCTATGGAAATTCCCTCGGCCAATGTGTTGGCGATCACTTATGAAATCGCCCAAATCAACGGCATCTGAACAGATAGTGACAATTGTCAATGTCGCTGTGGAGCATAACAGTAGTTTAAAATATGGGATATTACACGCACAAAAGGTACATTCCGATATGAGAATCCAGGCTACCGTCTTCTTGAACGGGAGATATTTTCGAGGCATTTGACACTGACTTACTCGGAGATGTGGTATGGTCAGCCTGTTGAACCTTGCCCCACTCAGACGTATAACCCTGAATCTACTAAAACTCCTTGGAACGGTTATCGGTAAAGGGACATCCGAAACTATCGTCAGCTAACTGAATGGTTCGAGTTTTTTGTCTAAATATGATAAGACAAGGGCTTTTAGTTTCACTTCCGTTAATTAGTCACTGACCTGCATAAACTAATTACCTTATTTCCAGCCTACGATTTCATGTCTTAGCGAATATTAGAATGCGACAACCTGTTCTATGAATGTGGCAACTCTGGCTAACTTTTGAACGAACGTAGATTTAAAAAAAAAGACAGCGTGTCTGATTTCACTTGTGTGCGACGGGATCACAACAAAACAAGACTGTCTGACATTGTGTGACCATCACTTACAAATTAAATTTGGCATTTCCAGTATCTGTAAAAACGAAGTGACAGCGCGTTTTTTAGTAGAATTCTCACCAGACCCCAGATAATTCGGCTGGTTTTCCGAAACATTGCGACGCAATGCCCCAACAGCGTATTCAGCAGACTGTGGTGTGTCCAGTATACTTTTTGTGTTGTAATTGCTAGAGATCAGCATTGCAACCCTGCGCTCTCGAATGCTTACGTAATCTTGTCCGCGGATGATTTGTAGATTTGGCAAACGCAGGTGTCCCCGACCAACCCCATGAATGACCAGATAGCCGGATATTTCCTCAATAGATTCCAAGATTGACAGATCATCCTCTAAGAGTTGGATCATGAAGAGGGGGATAGCAAAAAGTGAGCAACGATAGCACCGAAATGAAATTTAGAAACACTTTAAAAATGTAAGTAATACACTCTTCCTGATAGTGTGGTTCTGCTGTGTGGGAAACGGTCACCCCCATCTGAGAACTATGGACTCAAATAGAACCGAGAGAGTTCATCAGTTCAATGTATCGACCAAACCATCTAAACAGGACCACCGCATTTTAAGGATTACGAAAAAATTGGGCAGTCCACTATCGGAATCGACTATCTTGAGCCCATTTGGATGCGACTTCACACCGATTCTTCGCCAAACTCATTGCAAGTCGAACATAAACTTCTGTCTGTTGCGATAAAAACCCGTTTGTAAAACTACCTGGTGTCGAGACTATACTAAACTGGATTTCAACCGCCCCTTTCATTTACACTGATCTGCAAACGAGTGTGCTGAAACAAGTTTAGCTAATGTGTCACTTGGAAAGATATCGATGATTTCAACGTTTTTTTAGTACTACTCATGAGGTCGAGAAAAACTGATTTGCCTAGTGGTCACGATTGTAAAAGCACATCTGTTTTCTGAGATATTTTATCCGTCTTTTCAAAAGATCTACTTTTGTCCTAAACAGGGACATTTTCTATATAAATGCAAAGTTTTCGACCATTGTTAGCAGTTTATTCTCACTGAAAAAACTGCCTCATGTTCCAGTTGGTACGATATTCGAGAGACATCTCAGCAGATTTTATTGAACTGACAATGGATACTCTTCCGCCAACTACTGGGTAGCTTCGTTCGGGAAGAACACGGTTTGTTTGGCCTGTCGACCGCATAGTGCTGCTAAGTAGATTCGGCCGTAATTAACGGTCAGACCCATTCGAAGGGATGTCACCTTTTAGCTTGAGCAGTGCCATCCGTCAACACATTTAGTTTAGGATTCAAATGAAACGCAAAGTGACGCAGTAATGATCAAATTCCGAATGCCTCAGTTCAAACTAAGAATAAGGTGTATGACTTCGAAAAAATAACACAAAGTCATGTTGACGCCTCGCGGATTTTTAACTGCAATTTCCTCCTATAAGTAAAGCTCATCTACACTATAAAAGCAGAGGAACACTGTACAGCTGGTTCACCTTAACCGGGAATCATCATTGTGTACCTTATGCAACCTAGAGGAGTTTTGAACACGTCAGCTCCTGGCGTGAAGTTTGAACATTTAATCATTCGGCCTCAAGCAGCTGATCAGCGGGGCGACTGACTCCAAAACTTGCAAAATGAAAGATCAACAAAGTCTCACTTCTGCTTTTGCCGTCATGTGAATCAACACAAAATCCATCGAAGAGCAACCGAAAAAACTGGCAATTTATAAGAGTGGGAAATTACCCGAAAGCTCACGTCTGAAGCAAAGCTAGGTCGATTCTAGTAAATACTTGACAGTTTGGACGGTAGCTTAAATGACCCTTAGATGAACAGGGTTCAAACATTTCAAACTAGGAAAACACTTGTTCATCTTAGAAACTCAGCTGTGCCTACAACACTGCCTCTAATTTTGGGATTTGGACTCTGGTCTCCTGTATGTCCATTTGTCCTTGGCTTTCAAAATCACCGTGAATAGCCTGCGCTGTTCGTCCTATCTTTGAACTCTTTCCTGCAAAGTGCAGTTTTATTCTATCCTTCTTGGACAGGGACTGCCCACCCTTGACGGAGCACTCGCGAGCACCCGTAAGAACGAAGAAAGTGACAGAAGCAGAAGTTTCACGGTACGAAAAGTTGAAAAATCAATCAATTAATTAACTAACCATCCGTTAGACCGGCAATGACCAAATTCCCGAAGATAAGCGAACAATTGTATTCCAGTTGACCGGAGAGAATCGACCAAGACTGAGCCATATTCATCCATGTTGTCTCCGTTCGACAGACTGAAACATATCAGATAGCATTACCAAAAGTTGTTTGATGTTTGTCACAAAATGGTAATTTAGTGAGCTGTAAAGTTATCAAAACGCTCACTCAGCCGGGCAATCTCGGCTTAAATCAATCTTGAAAAGAAAGTATCCTGCGGGGGGTTTCAGATTTTACGCAGAAGTCATTGAACGAACTCCGAAATTTTTGATAGATTGGAGAATTTCTGAAGTTCAGTGCTGTATCACCGAGAAGTGATCTCAAAACCACAATCCCCCCCTAAAGTGAGCACCATTTGCATCGAAACCTTGTAATGTGTAGTCTGGATTAGTCAATAAATTAGCATTTACAAATGGATACAATTTGTGCCCTCTTATGGCATGGAAACTTTTCCACAAATGGTCACAAATGATAACAGATGCAACTGGATAGCTTGCAATCGTATCACGTTGCCTGGTGGAAGAGGTAAGTTAGCAAAGTATTCATTTTTTGCTGCACCGAACCAAGAGTGACTTCAATGAATTCCCTACTCCAGACGAAACTGAAATTTAATATTACAAAAGAAGAATTTTGTCCCAACACCTGGGGTACCGCAACCAGCTGTTTCAGCCAGGCACTTCGGATCGTTTGGCCCCTGATCATGAGAGTACACAAAAGGGCATTTAACTGAGTGTTTGGAGCCAAGGGACAAGTTTTACTCGATTATTTGAGCTGTTTGGAGAATACACAATGGTATATGAGTTTATGACACTTTCACCGACGCATGCTTCCGAGTGAAATTATAAGGGACTATGAGAGTTGATTATCACGGCTATTCGTCAACAACGGCTTGTTAAACAACACATTACTATCAGTTGAATGTATTCACGCTCCCAACAAGCCCTCTTCCAGACATGATTGGTTGATGGAGAATGATGTGTAATCAAAAGTGTGAGGAAATTGCCTCTTTCGATAGCTGCGGTGTACACGTGAGCTTCAATGAAGCTAATTCTTCAACTGTTGTGTAATTATAGATTTGAATAGCCATGCGCCGACTATGTCAAGTCGAAGAATAAGGTTGGATAAACATTTGACGTTTTCCATCAAAGAATGAGTGATATTCAACGACAACATCCACATTTTGACGCACTTTGCACTGAGTAAATGCCTGAAACTAATAGTTCTGATGTAAGGAAGTTTGTCGCCTAAAATAATCATGCAACATTAGATCGTGCATCAATTTCTTTAGCAGACAGGTGTTCTCTTTTTGCTTGGCATGCCTGCAGTCGTTCGTTCCCTGTAAATGGCCGTTCCGAACATTCTAGGTGATCAAATTCTGCCAGACTTTTGGTTTTTTCAAATAAGCCGGTTAGCCAATGTGTATACCGCAAAACATGTTTCGAGAGATAAATAAACAAACTGTCCCAAGCTTAATCGCCTATTTGTCGTGCTGAAGCAAGCCGAATAGTGTTCATTTTCCGCTGAGGCATCGACTTACTGACAACGTACTGAAAAGTAGTGGAAATCAGCAAGCGCCGCACAGTCGATTTCGAAAATCTTGAACTCCATCCATTGTGTCTGATATCAGGATCAGCCAATTCGCTACTCATGTTCAGACGTGACTCAATTTGGAACTGAGGTCCACAAGGAAATGAGATCTCTAATTCAGCAGTTTACAGACTTCTTGAATTTCACGCACCATTCTGATCTCAATTTAAACATAATATGTAGAGACTGATGTCCTAAAAGCCTGAATGAACATTATTTCATGTAATGATACGAAAAGTTTCAACCGCACTACTTTTGAGTGAGAGAGAGCACCCTCCTGTACAATAACGAATGAAGTTCTCGCGAAGTATACTCGCTTGCAAATCATTTTGGTTTTCAAGAGAGACTCAACTGAATCTCTCGTTATGATAGTCCTACAACTGAATGTGCTGCACGCAGGCCGCCTCATGTTTCAGTTGGCACGATATTCGAGATATCGCAGTATATTTTCATAAAGGAAAGTACTCACAAGGTTGCTGAAAACCGGTCGTGAGCTGTCGAAGCGTTTTCAGCAACCTTGTGAGGAGTTTCCTTTAAAAAAACAAAGTTTTTTATCGGGTATTGCTTTTTTTACAGTCTCTCCTTTGGGGTCCACCCTCTTGAAGCGTATATTACTTTTTTAGCTGTAAGAACACAAAGACATCGTATGTGGATGGTGGTTCATCAGGAGAAATTAAAATTCGTATTTCACGCATTAGCCACACTACTGAAGACAATCTTTTCAACCTTAAAGTGGCGACTGTTTCCGTATCAATAATTCCGAATTGTGATCTTGAATTCCGGTTGTTCCAAAGGGCTCTCCCAAAAACTTCCTTGGAAGTATATTGCTGAATAAAGTCAGTCGGTTGAAAAATGAACAGAAAAATCGATTACAAATCGTACCGGCTTGGTTGCGCTTTGGCGAGGGTACTAGAACAAGATAATTCGGGGATCAAAAAGTCTGCATATTTTCAGACGGAGTAGTTAATACGTAATCGACGCAGCAAAAACGAGGCGGGTCGACTTATTTCCAGACTAGTGGACTGTGTTGCACTCTGATCACTCACATCGACACCTCGGTAAAGCAGTCCAGTATATCTATCCAAAATCAGTCAACCTACATTAGCCCGATTTTATCCACTTCGAAAGACCAAGCTTGAGTACTTTTCAAGTTTCCAAGTTCTTCATGAAAATCCAAAAAACATACTGCTACTAGGATTCTTAAGACCTCAAGAGCACATACACGCACGTGACAGGCCTCAGGCTGACCCAAACAAGTCACGGGCTTGTTCAAGGATCTTGGCCACTCGCTTTCTAAGAAATAGAACCTGAATATCTTACTCCTGGAATACATAAAGGCTATAGCAATACTTGAAAAACTTGAAAAAAAAGAAGTGGCTTAAGATTCTCACGTGTTGCTTAGTGAGGTTTCAAACAAATTTGTTTTCTATAGAGGAAAATTTCTGTAGCTCTCGTAGCGTAGATGGTTGTCTGCTTGTTCGCTGAGCTGGGTAATTTGATTGCAAACGTTTAATCACCAATCGAGGTGACATCATCAGTCCGTTATTGGGGAGCGAAGTTGTGCATAGCGGTG